CCACCAGTAACCAGGACCATCACCAGTGCTATTTATCATAACCATCAGCTTTCCTATTTTATTCTTTTCCCAAGAGAATTTCTAACAGTGTGGTTGATCATTCACTGGGCACAATTTCCCCTATACTATTTGGGTATTTGGAAAACATCCTCCAACTGTTTTGACAACAGTCACACAGTCAAAACCCCCTTTTTTCAGGATTTTGTTCATTTTTTAGCATTAGACTCAGAAGTTTGCCTTTCTGTAATTATCTTCATAAGCAAACACATGGCCAGGGTCATCTCCAGACAAAAATATTTTATCTGAGATACTTCTCAAACATCCAAGGGCAGACTGCAGATAGACAGGTATTTGGACTATCTGCTAGTTTCCTGAGATATGGTAAACAGCTTACTGAGACAACTGCCAAGGCCAGGCAGATGTTAGGTACAAAGCTTTTTTTCTTCTGCAAATTAAGCACAAACCCTTCTTTCTCCCATATCCCAAGGAGTATTCCTAGTTCTAAAGATTCTCCCTTTAACAATTAACTCAGAACAAAAGGGCTTTTACATACCATGTGCAGCAAGCTGTGATACAGGCTGCCTAGCTACCAAGTACACTTCCCCTACCCTGTCAGAAGACGGGACAGCCAAGATAAGCTGAGATAGACATGGTGCCAAAGGAAAAAAAGGAAGCTATATTTCACTCATGACTTATAAGTGACTTATAGACTCCTAACATTTTACTTAACCACTTCTAAGAATATAGTTTGAGCACATAAATTCCCTTTTTAGATCTCTTAACCGATTTCAGCCTTAATTGACTCCATCTCCCTTAATAACTCCCTTTTTGGGTTATAAATGAAGTTGACAATAACTGCTCTTTGTATGGCTCTTATCACCTCTCTTTTTGATCCTTAAAAATTCAAGCCTTGTGACCTTGCCTTGGCCAGAGAATTGCTGATTGTATGGGTGTATGACTGGAAACCTCAGAGACTTGTGGGAGAAAATGAAGAGAAGAACTAAGATAGAAGAACTAAGATAGAACAGCAGAAGAGGGGATGAAGAGAGTGAGAATTAAGATAGAACAAAGAAAAAAAATGTAGAGAGAATCAGGCAAGGAAGGAGCTAAGTATGAGAACAGAAAAGAAGCTGTGTAGTGAGAGAATTTGACTTAGAAAAAAAAATGGATGGACTAAAAGAGCACAGTGTGTGTAGATTCATTTGGTAGCCTTAAGATTAGATACTCAGCTTTTTGTTAGATTCTTCCACAGAACCTGGGAAAAGGCTATTTAGGGGCTGGACTCTACAGTCTTTATCGACTAACAAAAGGAAAAGTTAAAGGAGTGGTTACTAATAATATTCTGCTATACTCATAGGTCAGTCACTTGTCATGTGACTCATAATCAGATAGGTTTCTTCTAGGGGCAGATGGTATTGAATTCAGAGACCCACAGCCAGATTTATGCAACAAGAGATTGTCTAAATTGGAGGTCTCCATAAAGTACCTTCCCATGGAGATTAGAGCACCCACAGAAGATGGGGAGGAAGGAATCTAGGACTCAGAGGGGATGAAAGGAATGAGGAAATCATGGACCACTCAGTCAACGAAGCAGGGCTCACATGGGCTCACAGAGACTGAAGTAGCAATCACAGGGCCGCATGGGTCTGTACCAGGTCCTCTGTATATGAGTTATGACTGTTAGTTTGGTGTTTATGTGGGACTCCTAACAGTGGGAGCAGGTTTATCTCTGACTCATTTGCATGCTTGAGACTCCTTTCCTCTTACTGGTTTCCCTTGTCCCACCTCTATATGAGGGCTTTCACTTTTTCTTATTGTAACTTGTTTTGTTCTATTTGGCTGTTGTCTCTTGGAGTCCTGGTCTAGTCTGAAGAGAAAGAGAGGAGGAGTGGTTCTGTGTGAGAAAAGGAGGCCTGGGAGGGAGAGAGAGAGGGGAGACTGTGATTAGGAATTATTGTATGAGAGAAGAATCTATTTTTTAATAAATTATGAGATAGACCTGCCAGTGCCAATTTGACTAAGAGGTGAATCTTTGTCTAGGTTGGGCCCAGGGACACACCCCTGTGTCCCCACACCACCACCCATTGCACTCACAGTTTCAGGCCAGTAGGCAGACCTCCTGCAGACAAGTCAGACTACCACCATTCCCCATGAGACCCTGTAATCCACAAGCCCCTCATCCCCCAAACCTAACTCACCCTCCAAGACTCCAACTGTTCCCTGAGACAGAGCCCACCAGAACTGATTGGACTAAGAGGTGAGTCTTTGTCCTTATACCTGAACACCCAGCCCCAAGCTTTAGGCTCAGTGACACAACCTAGTGCCCCCATACCACCACCCATTGCAGTCCCAGCATCAGGCCAGTAGGCAGACAGGTCAGACTACCACCATCCCCCACAAGACCCTGTAACCCACAATTCGACCCCTCCCAAAACCACCCACCATCCGAGACTGCAGCTATATCCTGAGACAGAGCCCACCGGTGCCAACTGGAGTAAGGGCTGCTTCCTGAGACAAAGAGTTGATCAGCACCGATTTGACCAAGAGTCCCGACTAGACCAAGAGCTCCCACTGGACCAAGAGTATTGATCAGATCAACAACATAAAAACCAATATGGCTCCATCAGAACCTACATCAGCAAGACCTGAACATCCCAACACAGAAGACACAGAAGAAATCGATCTTTAAAATATCTAAAAAGATAAGGTATTCTGTCAAGGCATCTGGAGATACTGTTTTTGGAATGAAAGTTGATCCACATGTGGTTCATCATGATATGATAAGGAGCTCTATCAAGGGATTTTGAGATATACTACCAAGATGATCTCTCAGATAATCTAATCTGCTATCTGCTTCTGTAAAATCCAATTACCAAATCCTTGTGTTACAAAATACCCAATTTACTCAATTTTCAGATGAAAGGAGGTCTGAAGTGTTAACCCACACTCTACTCTCAAATCTCACTTTGGAGAGTAAGTCCTATGTATAGTAAATAAAACTTGCTTAATTAGCTTAATTTGAATGGTGATTTTCATTCTTGCTTTGTGGGATTAAGTATCTTGGAGCCCCCAGTGAGACTAAACTCCACTCCAATCTTGGGGGCACACCTTGACAAAGTCCCAGGGCCCTCAAATGAGCTCTTGGTTCCACAGACTTCTGAGATGAAGGGCAGAGAAAAAAAAACAACCAGCAAATTTCTCTCTGAGAAGACTTCCACCATTAAGTCATAGCAAGGTCTCCCTTTCTATGACATCTGCTATTAGTTCTGGTGGGATCCTGCCTGGGGACAGAAGGGTACCTGACAAATTATCTAGACACCTGTCCAAGGTTAAATTGGTTGTCCCTCTGCCTATCTGTTTTTTGTTGTTATTGTTGTTATTTGTTTTGCCTTGATTTCTTTCTTTCTTTTTTGTTTTGAGCCTATTTCTTGGTCTCTGGTATTTTGTTCTTTGTTTTGTGTGTCTTTTCTGTTTCTTTATTATAAATCTTCCAGGATCTGGGCTTGGTTTCACTGAATGGACAGAAAAGATTGATAGGAGGACTAACAAGCCTGACATTCCTTTAAGCTGTGTTTTATTAAATTTTGACACAATTTACTCTCCTATAAATAAGCCCATAATATGGTTATCCCATCACCAAGAATCACCTCTGATCGTTCTGTGAAGTGGATGGCTTCCATTTGGGATGTCTGACCCCAAAGGGCACCTTTGACTCTCAGGTTACCTGGGCCATAGACTACACACTGCTTGGTATCTCTGGTTTCCCAGTCCAGACAGTGAATATTCTACCCTGGGCAGAAGGATGATCAAATCCACCCTCATGGATGAAGGTTTGTAGATATAGATATATACATAATACCAATGCATAATATATAATTTATATTGCATACATATATAATCTACACATAGAATTTAAATTATAATGTGACATTTTTACGATTCATATATATATATACATGCACACATTCACTCATATATGAAAAAACATGTCATAATAAGACTGTACATTATAACCAATTTATGAATTTAAATGAAGAATACATACCAATTCAAGGAAAAGAACTTGAATTAGAAGAGGCATTCAGATGAAAGGTGTGTGAATGTCTATGTTTAAAGAGAAGTGGCAGTAGTCAGCTAGACTTAAAATATGTTATCATACTGTAAATAAGGGGTTCACATATTTAGCCCTAAGTTACTTGCTCTGATTGACTAACATTTGACATTGAGTAATAAAATAAAATTCTTAGTGAGTCTACATTTTAACTTACATGCATTATATTAATCAATGATTGATATAATATTATGTTCATACAAGATTATGTTTAAATTTTGAAAACCCTGTATTATTCAGCATAATCACACAAACCCAAAATGAAAGCATGATAATTTAATGAAAGGCCCTGTGGTCTTAAGAAACAGATTGATGTTCAGTACAAATATTGTATATTAAAAGTTGAATATAAAATAAAAGTAAAATCTACATATTTTACCACAGTGAATTGAATGACCAGCTGAAATTTTACAAGGATCCACTTTGTAAATTCAAAACAAGTGGTTCATACAAGTGGAAAAGAGAATATGCATGAAACTCTTGAAAAAATTTAAATCAGTAACATGAATATTAACTGTCTATATTATGGAAGAGTATAAATTTTCATTATGAGCCAGGTGTGGGGCTGGCCATCTTTAATCCCAGAAGAGTAGGGACAGATATAGGAAGATCTCCATTAATTCACAATATCATGGTCTTTGCAGAAGGTCTCAGAAAAGGCCAGATATGTAATGATATCCTGTTCATATCAAAATATAACCTGGATTTTAAGCATGAAAAATTTCAATTGGTCCAGTATAAGGAGGCTCTAATACAATTAGATGAACAAAGAACAGCTCAAAGACTCAAACCCATACTACTATTATATAATACACTATTGCAATAGAGATCAACTGGCCTTCATCTTTGCAATTCATCTCTTAAAATAAGAAGTATGTTTAGGTTTGAACTAGGTTTTGAGAAATGTATTCCCTCTAGAATGTGGCCTCTTCCTGACATGATGAAGTGAGTTCTTCTCTGGACTTATTAAGATAATATAACACTTTGGGGCAAAAATGAAGCCAAATAAGGCAGCACTAGAAGCCAAGATGGAAAAGACTTCCATAGCCACCATAATCTTCCCCTTGGTGCTATGGTAGACAGGGAGGAATGTGACCCAGACACAGAAGAACACCAGCATGCTGAATGACAGGAACTTGGCTTCATTGAATGTGTCAGGCAGATTCCGGGACAAGAAAGCCACAGTGTAACTTCCAAGTGCCAAGGAGCAGAGGTATCCCAGGACTCCATGGAAGGCAAAAGATGAGCCCTTGTTGCACATAATGATGATATTTTCATGTTCAGCATGATAATCTTGGTCAAGGAATGGAGGAGAAGTCCCTAGCCAGATTCCACAGAGGACAAGTTGGACCATAGTACATATGGGGATAATAAAGTTCAGGCCCTTTGATATTAACCACCTCATCATTCTCCTTGGAAAAGTGACCCTGAAAGCAATAACCACAGTGATAGCTTTGGCCAAAACAGTGGCAAGGGCCACAGTGAAAGCAACTCCAAATACGATCTGCTGCAGGATACAGGTGGTAATGTTGGGACGGCCAATGAAGAGCAAGGCACAGAGGAAACAGACAGTGAGTGTGATGAGCAAGGTGTAACTGAGGGTCCTGTTATTAGCCTTGACAATTGGAGTGTCTCTGTGCTTCACAAAGAGTCCAAGAACCACAGCTGTGAGGATAGAGAAAAACAGAGCTATGGTTGTGAGAGCCATCCCCAAGGGGTCCATATGGTCAAGAAAACTTACAGCTTTCTGGAGGCAGTGTTTCTTCTCTGTGTTTGCGTAATGACTTTCTGGACACCTCATGCACTGATCTGCATCTGATCAAAAATGAAAGTGATCCTTAGTCCAAGCTGAAGGCATTCATTTTTTTCTAAGCCATTTCTCTGTGCATGTGGACAGGACTGTTACCTATATTACTTTACTTTTTCTCAGGTACAAAGAAATACAAACTCTGTGGTGAATAATTTCTTTTTTATACCACCCATCTCCTTTATTAAATATTTCAGTTATTATTTATATGTATATATAACTTGTGTAAATCCAACTAAGCTCTCTTTCCTCCTGCTTCCCTCCTCACCTTCTCCCACTTTTCCCTCAAAACATAGGGTACTCACTATTTCTCCTTTTTAGATATTAATATGCAATGAGCCTATTCAATGATGCTAATATATACATGTTGTTGGGGGCACTTACTTAAATATGAGCAACATTTCATAGTCCATAACCTTCAAGAAAAGTGATGTCCCTCTTTTGGTATTATTCATCAATTTCTGCTAGATTCTCATACAACCCATCTTCCTTATAGTGATATAAATCTAATACACCTCACACCTTCTCTCTCTTATAAACTTTCACTGCCTCTTGTGCTATTGGTGCATCTCTTTTGGAAGTCATTAGAATACTGAGTTACAATACATAAACCTACTTCATTTCTGTTACCATTTCATAAGTTATATTCACATTATGAATTGGACATATGAATACTGCAAAAGAGGGAGAGAATACTTTGAAATTATTTTCATAAAATGGTATTCTTCAGCATGAGTTCTTAATTTTCTTATCTTTATAAAATATTTTCTGTTTTTGAAATTTTGACAATTCTCTGTGAGGTTTTAGTGAACAGGTATTACTACATTGTTAAATGCTTGAATAGTGCATAAATAACAGTTCTTATTCCAATTGGGGAAAGGCCATACCTATTGAAACAGTTTTAAGGTGTGAAATAAAACAGTCCTGTAATATTCTGCTCTTGAATATTTATGAAGTTCCCCTTGAATTTGAAGTATATAAACACTGATTTATGCATGCCAGATTTTCACTTTCATTTTTTCTGTGCTTTTTAAAAGAAACATCACTTCCAAATTTATTTTGTTGATAAAATTTATTAACAGATAATCTAATTTGATTTAGTAGAATAAAAGTTATTTATCTATATCTTGTAAATATTGTTTCCTTGAGGTATTGTGACTCATTGATATAACTGTTCTCAGGACCTAATTTCAAGGTATGATGTCAAGCTCTGTTACTTCCTTCTCTTTTATGTGTAGGTATTTATTTTCTTTTGCTTTTCTACTTTGTAATGAATGACTGATATGTATAATTCCATCTTTTACTAAAAGCACATAATACACATAATAAAATTACTATATATGTATATATACATATATGTATACATGCATATATTATATCTATTAAGCTACTGTAAACTTTTTGTATAATATTAAATCAGTAATCTCAGCTTCAAGTGTCTAACATAATTGACCCACATAATTTTGTCATGTATATGTATTAATTAGGAATTATGAAAGACTTTGAATGGGTAAGTGAACCATTCCTACAATATATATATACATATATATATATGAAAATATATATGTATATGTATACATATAAGTGATGTGTACATAGATGTTCAGTATAGAGTGTTTCTTATAAACAGTTTGAGGGCAGAGTCTATTATATCTCAATGTAAGAAATCCATTGAAGAAGATGCAGAAGGACTGTAAAAGTCAGTGGTCATGAAATACTGCAAGGGAAGATAAAATCCAGACACAGGAGGGCAATTGAATATATAAATTCTGGGTGTGATATTATGCATACAATGTGTGAAAGCTTAGGCCAGACCAAATATCATCATGCATGGAATGTTGGCATTGGGTCCTACCCTTAACTGAGAAGCTATTTGACCTCATAGCTGATATAACAGGAAAACTCAATCTTTTTTATTTTTTTAAAATTTTTTGATTGACTTTTTTTAGTGAGGGATTGTCTAGATTATTTTTCCCTTATTTTATTTAAAAAATGTTTTATTCATTTTACATACTAACCACAGATACCTCATTCATCCCTCCCTCTGCTTTCCTCCAGCCCTCCCCCTCCCAACCCACCCCTCATCCCCTCCTCCAAAAGGGGGAAGGCTTCCATGAGGAATCGGCAAAAATTGGTACATTCAGTTGAAGCAGGACCAAGTCCCTCCCCACTGCATCAAGGCTGAGCAAGGCATTCCACTGGAGGCAATGGGCTTCAGAAAGCCAGCTCATGCACAAGTTATAGATCCAGATCCCACTGCCAGTGGCTCCTAAAACAGACCCAGTTGCACAACTGTCTCCCATATGCTGAGGACCCAGTCCAGTCCTATGAAGGCTCCACAGCTATTGGTCTAAAGTTTGTGAGTTCCTACAAACTTGGTTCAGTTGTCTCTGCAGATTTCCCCATGATGAGCTTGACCTCTCCTGCTCATACGACCCCTCTTGGAGAGCAGTGGATAAAATATCTTGATAGAGGGAGAGATTATGAGGTTTGGAAGAAACCAGGCACTAGGGAAATTCTCAGGAATCAATGAGGATGACCTTAGATTAGACTACAACCAATAATGGAAAGGATGCCTGAACTGGCCTACCCCAGTAATCAGATTTGTGAATACCCTGACTCTCATCATAGAGCCTTCATCCATTAACTGATGGAAGCAGATGCAGAGATCCACAGTCAAGCACCAGGCTGAACTCTGGGAGTACATCGAAGGGAGGGTGGCAATCAGTCATTAAAAGTTTGGCCATTGGTAATTAGTCCATTCTCCACACAGGGTCCTGTATCAAAGGGTATTGGGGTAGCAGAAACTGAATTCAATGAGTCTTTTTATTTTTTTTAAAGAGAGAGACGTTAGATAGGAAGAAAAGTGGAAGATTTGGGAGGGTGTTAATATGATCAAAATACATAGTATGAAATTCTCAAAGGATAAAAAGTATTTAAAAATTTCAAATTTAATATAACCCTGGTCACAAATTTATTATTACATATGGTAATACTAGCCTTTAAAGATTTTTCTTCCCAGTGTAATATGCTGTGAACAGGTTCATGACCTCTTATTCAAAATGGAGATTCTATATTCCTTTGCAGCTCTTAGGTCTTGGTACAGCTCTCCATAACAGATTATTTAAACTGCCTTGAGGATATTGTTTTATATACCCTTTCTCAAAGTTGGAACAGAAAAAAAGACATACTCATACTCACTAAGGAAACTTGAAATTTTGGTTACGCTGTACAGTCAAAAATTATGTATTGAGGTACCAAACACAAGTTTCTAATCTTCTTTTCCTTATGAAAAAGCTTGCTGGGAAGAATTATGTCAATAACCTATCCTACACATAGGTGAGTCCCAATCATTATTGAAATACAGTTAGTAAGACATCAAAGTTTGTTACTTTATTACCATGTGTTAAATTACATGGGGAAATAAAGCATATTGATCATTACAGAGGAAAGGTGTTTCCTGTAGCAAACAATCTGGTTGATTATGAACATAAAGCAATTATAAATTTCAGTGCCTATCTTCACTATTTCAAGACATGGTGATGCATATTTCATATCCTAAATAAGAGAAGGAATACATTACTCTGACTTCTCTCTAGATATTTTTCAGTTTTTAAGATAATGCAGAATCCTGTAGAAATGTGGAAACATTTCTGTAAGATTTATTCTTACCTGTCTCATTGGAAATCTCATTGTCTGCACAAGGAGTGCAATCATAGCAGCAAACAGCCTTGCCCTCTAGGGAAACTTTCTTGAATCCAGGCCCACAGCTCTCACTGCACACAGACTGAGGAATCTGAGAATAATGGGAGCAAAGTTAACAAATACTAAGGGCTTATTGTTTTTCAATACCATGCAATTAACTTGCAGGTTTTATTTCTATAAATGTAGAAAATTATTTTGAACATCTGTGCCCTATGCAAGGTTGGTCTGAGAATTCTCATAGTGTTAGACAGTTTGTAGCTTACTGAGGTAGGGACAAATTTGATGCAGGTAGGTCAGTGAAGACATGACCTAGAAGGTCAAGTGGTCCTTTCAGATGGATCTTGTCTCTGTACTTACTTTCTAATGTGTTGAAAAACTATTATTTCCACCATGATTGTGAATCTTGCTTTTCAATTTAACTAGACTTGTAGTTACCATGGAATACAAATTGTTGGGCATTTCTGAGCATAATCTTAAAGGGAAGTTTAAATAGTTCACTATAAAACTGAGTGTCACCATTCCATTGATGGTTGTCTGTGAGATACTATGTGAGATATTATGTATGTGAGATATTATGAGGTTTGTACATACCACTTCTCAGGTGTACTTAATTTGTGTAACACTGACAAAAATCTAACACATGGATGATTGAATATTAACAGACATTTACAGCTAAGATCTTATATTTTAACTATCAGGGGATGATAAAACAGTGTCTTGTAGTAGTTATTTTCTGTCTTTCTCTACTGGTAGTTATATATTAATGGGTTTTTCAATATCAAATAAGGGGTTGTTATACTGGTGGATATATTTGTTTTAATGATAAGTATAATTAATTGAGATAATACACAACTAACCTCTGAATATTTTTCTGGCCATCTTATCATCTGTTCAGACAAAGACAACTGTTGACCCTGGGGAGCATTGGGAGAAAAGATTGCTACTTTCACTTTTCGTCCAAGACTCTTTGGAAAATTCCAAAAGTTGAGAATATCATATTTATCATCTGACTTCTGTTTCCATTTTAAAGCCATGTTGGCCCCCACATGGATATTCTTCAAGAAAGTATGAAGCTGAAAGTAAAGCAAGAATATATTTTAAAGTAGGTCACAGATGTTGATCAAAAATGGATTATAGAATTACCCTCATTGTTCCTAATCTCTGGCATAGGACATAACATTAATGTAGGTTTCACTACAGCTGAGCAATGGTAACCTAAGTTAATAGGATGCCCTTATACTTCTGAAGGACAGTCAGCCTCAAGAAAATCTTCTAAACATACTCAGGAAAGGAATCAGTGAGTACTGGTTGAAGTAAATCTTGATTTTTAAAACAAAGTTGTACTTATTTACATTTAGTGTGTGTCTCAAAGTACAGTGAGTAAAATGTGGGTACTAATGATTAAATGGTAGTAAAAAAATCATTTATGTACTAATACCTTGGGGTGACCTGTCATTGTTTAACTTACTAAGAGAATTCTTAGCTTTCTCTCTCTCTCTCTCTCTCTCTCTCTCTCTCTCTCTCTCTCTCTCTCTCTTTCTTTCTTTCTTTTTTGAGACAGGGTTTCTTTGTGTAGCTTTGCACCTTTCCTGAAACTCACTCTGTAGCCCAGACTGGCCTCAGACTCATAGAGATCTGCTTGCCTCTGCCTCCCGAGTTCTGGGATTAAAGGCATTTGGCACTGACACTTGGTGAATTCTTAGTTTTCTAATGTAATCTATAAACATGAGAAGGTTGTGCAGCTATTTGTGACACAGACTTTATATTCAGTAAAATTATTTCCACCTTGCCATTAGCACCCTATTCCTCAGCAACATGCACACATAGATCTACACTGACCTGGAAAATAAAATAACAAATAAAGATTCTCCTTGGTGATATATATATATATATATATATATATATAAATACATGTATACAGTGCTGAAATACATAATACCTAATTTGGATCCTCTGAAGATGCCAAAAATATCACATTGTTGATTCTTTAATACAATGGAAGGTATATTACCTGCCAGGGGAAGAACACCATTTTTTGCCCATTTCTAAATGGTTGCATTTGTACTTGCTGAAGACTCATCTCATGGAGACTGTGGGCCACAGTATAAACAGCCTTGTATGTATTATAGCTGTCTTCGTTCATTGCCGTGTCAAAAATGTGTCTAGGCAGGAATTCCAGGGAAGCATTGGGTTGGCAGTTCTCCAAAAGATGACAATCCAGCTCTGAAAATGGGCACTTGAAGAACAAAAACCACAATTTAGGAAGGTAATTGTCTTCTGGGTATTTATAAGGATTAACTGTTTGGATAAAATTTTTAAATTCAATAATCTGCTCATGGTGGTGTGAAAAAATGAGACTTCCATGGAAAGAATCTAGCAAGAAATAATCAGCCATATTAGTAACATCCCACTGAGAGGTCATGACCCAGACTTTACTTGTCAAAATCTGTTGCCCTAGATTTCTCATTAAACCTTGCAGTGAATCATTGTCACCATAAATGATGATGATATTGGCCAATGATTCCTGGACTGTGATAAAACTTTTCCAGTATTTGTACGGAAATGAATTCCAGGTACTTTGGATCATTTCAACAAAAGCTATGCAGACTTGATTTTTCTCCATATTTTCTCTGATATCTGATAGAAATTGAGTTCCTCTGTGGTCATCTGGGACAATAAGACCAATCCAGGTCCAACGAAAATGAAGCATCAAAGAGACCATGGCAAGAGCCAGAGATGTGCCTTTGGGGGCCATCTGGTAGAGAGAATGAAACTGATCTTGGTCACTCAAGATAGCATCAAAAGGACCAACAGTAAGCTGAAGAGGAAACAAATGGAAACAAGAGGAAGAACAATGTCATAAATCACAATCTCTGTTCTGCAGGAACTGATGGCAATGGTCAGGATGAGAATGGATTCATCCTGATTTTAAAGGCAAAGTTCTCTGACAGAATTTTTCAGAAAATTTCTGGCTTGTCCTCCATTTTTATTAATCCCCCTGTCCTGCATCCTCCCCTTTCTTTCTTTCCCAAGGGACTGAAATTAGATCTGTCTTCAATTGTCTGGGCACTTTTCCTTAATAGTTAAGTAATCCAAGTATCCCTCTAACCTTTACATGCCTCTGAAATGTCAGCAAAGGAGATCTGGCACTTTTTCCCATACAACTCCTCACCTGTGGAAATTTGTAGAGCTGAAGCAGTGTCGCAATATGGGTAGATCTTGCCCATGATGGTCCTGTTAGTGCAGCAGCTGACTTTCTCTCCTTTACACAGTTATAATTAGAGATGGGAATACTCAGGCCTGAGAGCCAAATAAGGGCATTGCCAAGAATGTTTTTCTCACTGAATGGGATATTATAAAAATCAAATCCCAGAGTTATGTTTGGTAAAAGATGAGGGTTCCTGTTGATTTCCTCAATGGCAAATACCAGGGCCAGTACCAACTGGTATATTTTAAAATTATACCTGCATAAATTGAAGAAAAGTACACTTGATGATATTATAAACCACACATAGGTGCAGATTAATGCAATAGTTTCTAGTTCAAATATTAGTGTTTATATAAAATCCACATTTAAAATCTAATAAATGATTGGAATTCAACTGATTGTGTTACATTGATAGGATGATATAAGATCATGTAAGTATGACCCTTATAATTGGTCATCCCGTGACTGTTTACTGTTCTTTCTATTGTATTTGGTACATTAAAATTTTGCCCATGAATGTAGAAAATGATCTTACAAAGTATAATATTTCCTGCTTTATTGTTCTTAGTTGTATAGCTTCTACAGTTAGAGGAAAACAAATATTCCTCCACTAAGACACACAGCTTTCCAAGAAAATATCTTCCTCAAAGGATACCACTGAATTATTGTGACTCATATTTTAAATAGTTGTGATTCTTTGATAACATTATCTTTTGTGAGTTTATGTTGCTTTGGTACCATTTGTTTATGTTGTTTGTATGTGTGTGTGTGCTACTGTGAAATGTTTTAAATGATATGATCACAAGATAGAGGACAACCTCCACAAGCAATTCTGTACAGTTAGAGGTGCACTCATGAATTTTCTGTGCATCTGAACTCAGGTAATCTCACTTGCACCTGAAACATTTTTACTGTCTGAGATACTCCTTATTTTAGTGTCAATGCCTGAAATTTAGAAAAATAGGTTTCTTTAGAATATCATAAAATAATAATAAAAATCCAGTGCCAGGCATTGAAAACCTGTTTTTGAATTGTCATTTTTTAGGAGAATCCAAGAGACTTCCTCCAAAAGTATAGGCTGTGGCCCATGCCCTTTGTGCCTTCCAGAAAAAGAAGGTAAGTTCCTATTGCTAAAGATATCACACACTTTAGACAGTAGGTAAAAGTATCTACCTGGATTTACCTGGAAGCCTACCTGTTGGTTGAAATATTAAGGCAACTCCACATAGTTAAAAGGGAGGTTTATTTTGTGGGAGCAATTTACAAGTAAAGGGATAGATTATCGGGTCTGGGAGAGGTGAAGTGCAGTCCAGTGGTGTTCTCTGGAGAATTCTGCTTGGTCTACCTCCAGCATGCAGGATCCAGGAACCAAGAGAGCCAGCACATCTGGATCTTGGATCTTAAGGGCTCCTGTCTCAGGCCTGCCTTGTAGTCATGACAGTTATCAGAAGCCTCAATGGGGGTAGTGCTTTCAGGTCAAAGCTGGAAGAGCTACCCACTGCACCTCTTTACTGAGGACCAACTCCCATAGTTACAGAAGTCATGCAAGCTCACAATGAAGAAAAGCCATCAGCAGTCCTCAGTAGTCCTACCCATCTATAAAGTCAATGAGTGATAACACTAGTAAGCAATGCAAAATATTCTGGTCAGTGTAATTATGACACTTGTAGCCTTGGATAACTCTCAGTTATGGAAATGGAGTTAAGGCATGATGGGATAGGAGGGAAGCCATGTCTTTCACTGTACTTCTACATATGGACTCTGGAGAAGAACCTACTACTGCCAGTTTTCTAAACTATTATAATCTCTAACTGTAACCTAAACTTAACCTTGTACAGATAATATAGCTCTCCCCCCTGTATAAAGACACTTCTTTATATGGTAGACACAGATCATTATAGGATACAATGACTTTTACCCCTACACTGTTTAACCAACTGCAGGGTGTTTACCCCCAATTAATACATTTACCACACAACCCCTACACTTAAAAATCAGGAAACTTTGTAGTAGAGAGGTTATAAGACTGTTATGAGCCAGAGGACCAGGAGAACTGTTGCAAGATATTGTCTTCAAATTAAGAGAGACAACATGAAGAGGGCTTAAGTGAGTGATTTTTTTTTTTGGTTTTTTGAGACAGGGTTTTTCTGTGTAGCTTTGCGCCTTTCCTGGAACTCACTTGGTAGCCCAGGCTGGCCTCGAACTCACAGAGATCTGCCTGCCTCTAGTGAGTGATTTTTGATGGATTTGGTTGGAAGTGTCATAAATTAACGTGACTGACATAAATTATTTGAAAATCTCCATGTATTAATTAATAATTTATTCAAAATATTTTATTTTCAAAATAATTGTTCTTTCTGAACTTTATGGAAAGATGACATTGCTAAAGATAATATATAGATGAGTCATAGAACATGGAGCTATCAAGCTGGTACTGGACTGCAGTCTTTGACCCTAGTGGATAACTTTCACAGTTCAATTAGTGTAACAGTTGTAGTGGGTAGCCATTCCAGCTTTGATCTGGAAGTTCCAACCCCCATTGAGACTTCGGCAACTGTCATGCCTACAAGGTGGGGCCAAGGAGGCACCTGGAGACCCGAAATCTGGATGGGCCAGTGCTCTCTCTGGTCCGGGACCCTGGATGGTGGAGGTGGGCCAAGCAGAGCTCCAGAGAACACCGCTGGACTGTGATACACCTTTCTCAGACCCCGCGACCTACCTATCCCTTAATTTGTAAGTTACGCCATTAAATAAATCTCCTTTTAACTACTTGGAGTGGCCTTAATAATTTCACCAATATCTGGCGCTCACGTGGGGCAAATTCCAAAGGCCTAGGTGGCTCCCACCCTCAGCCTCCTCCCCGGCTAGCGGGTACCTAAACCCACCTGCAAAGGTCCATATAACCAGGGAACGCCTACACGGTTCCATTCCCGAATAAGGGAGCAGCTAGTCTGGTCTCAGTTCCCTCAGTTTCGAGACCAGTGAAAGAGGCACTCCCCTGCTTCCTGAGTGCCAGCGCTGGCTCCAGCTCCCGCCATCTTGAATCCAGCAAGCTGCAGTCAGCCAAGATCACCAGCAGGCCCTGCTTTGGAGCTGTACCAACGCCACCTGCTGGCTGAAAAGTGTTACTACCCCCCCAAAACCATGAAAGGTAAGCACATTGTTTCAAGTAAAAGTACTTGATAATTTTACACCTTAAAATTGACTAACAAATTTTGAGTAATTCTTGTAATATGACTGACAACATTACCTCACAAGAATTTGAAAAACTTTTTGCCTGTATGATGAATGACATCTTCCTGGAAATATACGACCTTTTTGCCTGTATGATGAATGACATCTTCCTGGAAATATACGACCTTCCTAAGGCATATCTGGCCTGTACCATTTTGGCATTCATCGTAATAATTCACACAGTGTTCAAACACTGGTTTAATAACAAGAACAAAGCTGAGTCATTATTGGGACTGATACAGGTTTTAAGAGACAGCAATGAAGGCTTACAGAAAAAGATTCTCTCTCTGGAATCTGCTTTAAGAGATAGCAATGAAAGCGTACAAAAAAGATTCATTCTCTGGAATCTGCTTTAAGAGATAGCAATGAATGCGTAAAGAAAAAGATTCTTTCTCTGGAATCTGCTTTAAGAGATAGCAATGAAAGCGTACAGAAAAAGATTCTTTCTCTAGAATCTGTTGATCAGGATTTACAAAACAGGCTTGTACCGAAAATTGATCTTATTGATAATAAATGTGAATATTTAATGGACAGAACACTAACTCTCCAGACACTATATAAGGAAGAAAGATTGTCATTAATTGATAAGATAAGGCCCATGAAATCATGTGTTTCTGAGGAACATAAAAACTTCTATGATTCCATGAGAAATCTGGAGTCCCTTGCCAGAGAGGAGGTTCACTCCCTAGAACAGACCCTAGGTGCTCGTTTCCAAGCCTTAGAAGAAACTCTCAGTAAACATGAAAAGGGACCTAATAAGCAGAAGGGCAAGACCATACAGGTTGTAACATCTCCAAATGGCTCTCATACAATGACTTATTCTGTTATCATCCATGAGAAGCCAGCGGATGACACACACCCCGAGCCATACAATACATATGCATTACAACCAATTTCAACAAGGGACTTTAAAAATATAAAGGAAGCAGTAGTTACATATGGGATACACTCCACATATGTAAAACAGATGTTAAATTCGTGGTCTACCTCACATAGAATCATCCCAGATGTTCGGCATCAGTTAATTTCAGCTGTTCTAGAATATAGCCAGCAGCTACAGTGGAAAAGCTGGTTGAGAGAAGAGGCAAAAAATTTAGAACAACAAGGTAAAATCAGAGATTTGGTGATCTCCCAAGATCAAGTACTTGGTGAGGGATGTTTCGCTGACAGGAATGTACAAGCCACTTATGATGAACATACAATATCCCTATGCTGTACAGCAGCTCTAAATGCTTGGGAAAAAATTCCAGAACCTGGAAAACCAACTGAGGTATACACAAAGATATTTCAGGGACCACACGAACCCTTTACCGATTTTTTACAAAGGCTGAACACAGCTATAACAAAAGGTATATCAGATAAAGAATTAAGAAAAGTATTAACTGAGTCCTTGGCATTCGACAATGCTAATGCAGAATGCAGAAGAATACTTACACCATTAAAGATCAGATCAGCTCCTTTGGAAGAATGGATTCAGTATACTAATGGTGTTGAGTCTCGTAACTACAGTAATGAGGCTTGGATAGGAGGAGAGACAAATCCCAGAGGTGAAAGAAGGCCCTGTGTTATCAAATGTTTTAAATGTGGTACACAAGGTCATATAAGTAAAAACTGTACGTGGGGTACTCCTAGAAGTAATACTCCTTTTAGGAATAGCCTAAACAGGAGAACCCAACCACCTCCCGGATTATGTAGAAGGCGTGGCAAAGGCCGACATTGGACCAGTGAGTGCAGATCAAAAATAGATATACAAGGCAACCCTTTACTGGCAGGAAATGCCTCAGGGGGCCTCTTGCAGGGCCCCAAATCAAATGTAGTATGAACATTCCCAGCCACTGTGGAAGAAATTCCTCTCCATTACAACTGAATAAACCAATGCCTAATGTAAAAACCGATACTGCAATGGATGATAAAACAGCTCTGATAGGTGGATCATAGTTTACAAAGAACACTATAAAACAAATATTTTGGCAGACTTCCATAAATGAAAAAAGACCAAAGCTTAGAATTTGAATTAATGGC